GGGGGGGCAGCCGCGGCGGGCGGTCGGCCTGAGGCGGCGACGGCGGAGGGCGCGGCGCTGCCCAGGGAGCCCCGCCGCGGGGGATCGCGACCCGCGGCGCCGGGGATGTTGCGGTGGGTCCGGCAGCAGCTGGTAGGTGCCTCGTCGCGTGCAGCTAACGGCCGGCCCCGTGCACGGCCCAGGGCTTCTACGCGGGGCCGTCCCGGGAGGCGTGGGGCCGGGCTGGGGGGCTGTAGGGCTGCGGGGGGAGGGGGGAGGAGCGCTTCTCCCGTCGGGGAGATCCGGGACCCGGCACTCCGGGTTTTTTAATCGTTACTTAATTTTTTATTTATCTAACACGTATCCAGGGCTTAGAGCAGTTTTGCTCTGGTATTTTGTGATTTATTCTTTTCTTTAAACCCCGTTGAGAGCGTGAAAAGCGCATTTCTTTGCCCGTGGCCTCCTTGAGCTCCCCATACTTCAGGGAGGACGGCAGGCCTCTCGCCGTGGGCTGACACACCTGGGTTTGCAGGCCTCGCCGCCTACTTCGGAGGCTTTGCACCTGCTGTACGTGTGCGGCACTGCCCTGTGCCTGAGAGCTGCGCTGTGCTTAGGGCTTTGAAAGCGAAACCTGAGGTGAATGTCAGTGCTTTTGGGGGAGACTGCTCGGGAAAGGCTGCCGTAAGGTCTCTGCTTTCCAGCCTGCCGCCTGCGTTATTTCTCTTTCATTTTCTGAAGCAGTGAAATCAGTCTGCTTCAAACTTTTTCCGTTGCTTGCAGTTACCTTGCATCCCAGATGTTGCCCAGGTTTGTACGAAAGAAGTACATTAGTTTGGCTTTTTTGTATTTATGGCTAAAAGGTTTGTCTTGTGAGTGTTTCTTTTATTTGTTTTATCAGTTTTTGCAATTGGAGAATTCTGTGTTTATTTTTTTTTTTATTCTCCTACCTCTTTCCTGTGGACCAAAGCAAAGCCACAAGCTTTAATTAAGTACCTTAAGTGAAAGGTTAAAAATCACTTTAGTCCCCTAACAGCTCTGTGTTTTCTGTGATGGCTTCCATGGCAGCTTGACAGCGCTGACTGGTTTGGTTTAACACCGAGATGTATTGACCTGGAAATTAATTACTCTTTTAGAGCTGTGATTGCACTTCTCTGTTCTGTAACAGGCATGCGTGTATTTTTTTCAGAATAAAGTGTGCTTGGTATAACAGCTATCACTTTTTTTTTCCTGTGAAGGTGGCTTGAGGTTGCTGAACGAGGTTTTTAAGTTGGCTGCTATAGAGCTGTGATTAGAAGACACTGCATCAGTGCTAGGAATCCATATATCAACCATGCCTGCTTTTCTTTCTGTCTGTATGCTGTCCAGCTTTCCAGAAACATGTCTGGCCTTAAGAGAAAGTAAAAAATTTATTGCAAGAGGATGAGCAGTACTCTTGGCAGTAAGAGGGTTTTCTTCTAAAGTAAAACGTTGGTGGGAAAACAAATGCTTGAAACTTGCTAGCTTTCACAGGAGAGTATTAGGATTGTAGAAGAAAGGGATAATAAAATGCTTCAACAGGGAAGAAATGACTGGAAACACACAGGTTTTGGTGTTTTTCTTTCTGTAAACCTCACTGCTTGACGTTAATTTTTGTTTCACAGCTCATTAAGTTGAAACATAGCCTAAGATAGGTATCACACTGTACATTTCTTCAGAGGGACACTCAGACAGCTTATCCCTGTGTATGATCATTCATTTAACATACTTCCCACACACTTACTTCTTCATATGGCTGTGATGTTTAGTTTGTATTAAGAAAGAATGTCAGAAAGCTGAGAACCTGGGGAAGGATGTTGAAAAGATAATTGGTGCAAGTGGGAAGAGCGGGGTGACAGAACCAGGGTTGTTTGTAGATGGCTCTGCCATCTAAGGAATACTCAGACTATTTGAATTAAAAAAAAAAGGCAAAGTCTGTCTGAGATATTTCTGATGAAGGGAAAAGAATGTGTGGGATTGGATTCCTTCAGAGCATGCATTTTTACCTGCATTCGATGTGGCAAGAGCTTCTGAGAAAACTATTCTTGTCCGTGTATGAGGATTGGAACCAAGCACATATGTGGGAGTCATCACAGTTGGTTGTTGTAGTAATACAAAAGAAAAACGTTGGTGTGAGGAAGTACTGGACTGAGGAAAAAGAGAAGGGACTGGTACTTGGCTGAAGATAGTTGTTAAGTACTCTGTATGAAACCAGTGAATATTTTGCAACTTCTTGTTTAAGAGAACTGTATTTTGTATGCTCATTAATGAGATGGTCCTGAATAGATATGTGCTCAAAAACCTGTGATCTCATGTGAGTTGTGAAAGGGGGAAGGGAAAAATGAAACAGGTGTTCTTAGAAGCAAGTCACAGGGGAACCTAGTATGCAATTCAGATGGTTTCAGCTGTGTTCTTGAAGTGGTAACTTTGTTCTGTGGACATATGGAAATGACTTCCAGTATGAAAAAAAACCAAAATGGATGACAATAAAACTACTGTTCGGTCTTCATTGCCTATGTAGGAATTTGTTAGAAATTGTCAGGAGTTTTTGGTAACTTGGCTGTTAGTTGGCTTTGTTTCATCAGTAGCACCTAGTAACCCCCCATCTGTCCCAGTCTGATGCTGTCTAATAGTGAATGTACTGCTCAATAAGTCAGTAGCAGCGTGCAGCATTCTAGTCAATATTATGATATCATATTGCAACAGGTTTTAGTTATTAAAAAACGTAAAGCTAATGGAGTATAATTACTTGTGTTAAAAAATGACTAAAATGCCCTGATGCATGTGAAAGAGGAGTGCTGAGCAGAAGGATGCCTGAGTTGGGGCTGTGTTACCTCGAGGTTGCAGGCGGTCAGTGGGCATGTGGATTTGCTGCGGATTGCATAACAGCACAGGCACAGCCAGCTCTGCTTGAGAAAAGCAGCTGAGTAAACAAAAGTTGATTGGAAGTATTGTTAATATTGAGGAATGGTACACCTGATTTACATTTCCAAATGTGATACGTTAAACTACGCTGCTGTTCTGTATATATACGGCTTATGGTAGCTCTCTGGGTGAGGTTTGTGCAGTACTGGTGTGAAGCATAAGCACAAAGCAGTGTTTGTAATGCTCAGTAACTTCCAGTGCCACTTGGTTTGATGCATTTGTGACAGGGTCTGGGCTTTATGTCCTGATGGTGTGTATGCAGCATAGGAGCTATTACAGCAGTATCAACAAAGTAACGGTGATTGAGTTGTCCTGCAAGGAGGTCTCCAAAGCTGTGGTAGAACAGCTGAGTGCAGGAACCCAGCTGTGGAATTTTGCAATTAGTCCTGCTGAGCATGCACATGGCCATGGATTGCTCTCTGAGCTGTTGTTTTGTGGGGTCTGAGCCCACTGATCTGTTAAGCAGCAGTGAGGTGCTGTGTGAGCAACAGGGGAGAGTCATGAGCTACCTGCACAGCCTTCTTCTGTGAAGGACAGCCCAAGAGAAGCAGAGTTGGGCTGTACTTGGCAGACTGTTTTCTTCCTACAGCAGGATTACAAGGAATGCTTTTGCTTGTTTTGTGTTTGGTTGCGGTTTTTGTTTTCCTCCCAAGGACAGTATCAGTAGGAGGTTTGGTCATCTTTTGCATGAGCTCAAATGAAAACTTTTGCTCTTAATGGAAGTATCCTTGCATAGAGTAGCACTACAGGCCTGTATGTCAGGATTTTTTCCCTTTCCCTCCAGGTATTGTGATCTGTTGAGATGTCCTGAGAGGAGCAGATGGCATTCTGTAATAGCTCGCTGCATTCTGAATAAGGACAGCACTCCTCGTTTACATCAATGTGTGTGCTTTTCTAACTTAATCATTCCAAATAATCGACCCTGTGCAGGTCTTTGGGTGTGGGGTGTGTGGTGTTGTGTATTTGTTTGCAGGTCTATTTTTGCTTAGGAGTTGCTGGGTTTTTGCATACTGAAAATACTGTGAACTATTCCAATGACTGAGAATCCCAGCTTCTGGAATCACTTTGATTTCTGGATGGGATTTTTTTTTTTTTTTCCCCTCTTTTCTTACCTGTTAGTGACTGTGCACTCTTTTGATAAAAAATGAATGGTTGTTAGTCATTGTATACTTAAAAAGGAAATGTGTATTTGCTCAACAAGAGTTCCCCTGGTTCAGACTGCCCAGCTAAAGCCTTCTGTGCTGTCACTGATGGATCACAGTGAGAAGAGTGTGGGAACAGCCCAAGGGCTGCTTCAGTTTCAGAATCAGAATCGTTAATGTTGCAAAAGACCAAACTAGGGGGAGGACTGTGAGGTTGTGATCAGCTTGCTCTTAATGCAGGAGAATGTATGGCCGTGGGTTTTAGGCTGTGACCTGTTAGACTAGTCCTACCAGGTTAAAAGGCCCAAATTGCGTTTGGGTCTTTTAACCTTATTTTCTTTCAATATTCTGCAACTGCTGAGTGCTGATGCATTTGCAGCACAGTGTGTTCCAAAGCATGCAGAGCCTGGCCCTGCCTGCTGCCAGCTGGCTGTGCTGGGGGAGGCATCCGCTGTGTCCTGTGCAGAAGTTTCACATCTTATCTCATTTAAAAACCAACAACAACAAAAAAAACCTACCTGATAAAACCAATCTTATCTTAACACTGTTGTTTTTTTTTAAAAAATTGTTTTTAAAAAATAGGAAAATAGGAAAATTTGAGTGATTGGATGTGCTGTGCTGCTGTGAGACTGGAGGTTTAACCTGTATCTGATCCTGTTGGGTTTTTTTGGTTGCTTTTTTCCCTAGCCACGAGCCTTTTTAGCAGCAGGTTTTTATTATGTTGGATTTCCAGTTGTCACACACAGCAGCACGGCAGTTTCAAGGACTGTTATCTCTCTACTGTGGAGGTCCTGCTCCATTAGTAGCTGCCTTAATGTCTAGTTATGGTTTTGGGGGTTATCTAAACTCTCCTCAGAAGATAAGCATACAATCTGAGACAAGTCAATCTGTGCTGAATGAAATCATTTACCATCTGTGTTATTCAATTGCTATTTGATTTTCCTAGTTTTGGATGAATTGACAGCTGTTGTTTTTTCTTACTGTGATGTCCTCTGTTGTCATGACTGCATTTGCCACTGCCTCTCTGAGCACAAGGCATCTACAACATATCTTCTAAAAAAATCCTTTAAC